AGAGCAATATCAAAACAGAATTCCACAACACGTTTTGAAAAATGGCAGCAACCCTGAAATATGACTTCAGTCTCTCAAGGGGCTACACTCAACTCTGTTTTTGTTTTATTTCAGTGAGGAATCGGTCCCCAGAGTGTGAGGCAACTTGTTCGTAGCGCTCCAATGCCGATCAAGGCTGAGAACGTAGGCCCCTTGGCTTCATACAACAGCACGACACAACCACCACGCAGCAGCTAATGCTTCGACGCGCTCTCGCTGTCCCAGACTGTTCCAGGTGTCTTGCATGTGTTAACTAATGAATCCTCACAGTTACCCTCTCACCCCAAATTCCTGTTTTGCCGACGGTTTCGGATTCGATGTGTCTTTCACTGCACCGTGCTGAATGGCAAGGGTGAAACGAGACTGGGCTTCGTGCCTCCCCTGTGGGGCTTGTACTGATGGCCCTTGCTAGCCCTTCACCTTTGGAGGGTGGATCTAGGATTTGTGAATGGACTAGACGTGGGAGGTAGGGGAGAGTATGGTCCAGGATGATGCTCAGGCTAGGGCTTTGGCAGGGCAGAGTCTGTAATGCTCTTCACTACAAGGGCAGGGGGCGGGGTCACGGGAGAAGCTGTTCTGGGGAATGAGATCGTTTGTTCTAGGTACACTGAATTTGGTGTGGAGTTTGATTAACATAGCTGAAGCTCCAGAAAATATTCTGTTCTGAAGATATAGTTCGGGGGCCAAAAATATATTGATGATCCATAGACTTTGGGGGAGAATCACGGGTCACGTTAAGACGTTTTTGGGGGAGAATCACTGGTCACATTAAGACCCCTGGTTGAAGAATTCCTACAGTGAAGCCCCACACCCCTCAGTTGTCCCTCCCTCTGGTTCCTTTGTTACAGTCTCTGTCAGGAGGTGACCAGAGCATCAATCTGTCCCCCATGTCCTCCTTCCTTGCGGTGGGCCTGCCAATTACTCCACATGGTCAGATGCGAATTCCTCTCCTCCCTGCCTCTAAGCATCCCAAAGGTCCCACCCAAAGGGCCGCTCTCTACCATCTTCTATTCTAAACATCTCGAGACTTCATAGTGACCCCAGCATGTGTCGAGTCCAAACTTGCCAGGCTTCCAACCCTGGTGTCAGACATAGAGAGCCCTTAATGAGCATGGTGGGTTTAATAGTGTCTCCCCAAAAGTTCATGTCCACCTGAAACCTCAGAATGTGACTCGATTTGGAAATAGGAGTATCGTAGATGTAATTCATTAAGATGAGGTCACTCTGGACTGGGGATGGCCCTGAATCCATTGGTTGGTGTCTCTATAAGGAGACCATGCGAAGACGTGTGGGGAAGGCCATGTAAGGGCACAGGCAGACGTTGGAGTGATGAGTCTTTTTTTTTGCCACGGGCCACCAGAAACTGGAAGATGAAAAGAAGGGTCCTCCCCTAGAGCCTGCAGAGAGAGCAGGGCCCAGCTGTCACCTTGTTTCCAAACTTCTCATCTCTAGCCCTGTGAGAGAATACAGTTCTGTCATTTAAGGACACCAAATCTGTGGTGATGTGTCATAGCAGCCACAGGAAACTAATCCAGCCAGACGAATGGGACGACGAGACATCACCGCTGTGAGGTACTAAATATACAAATGGGCAATGGCCAGATCACATATGACAACAGAACCCCACATCTCAATCTCCGCAGTAACCTGAAAAGCCAAACCGCCACTTCTGTAGCAATTGGCCCAGACAGTTGGGACTTGGTCAGTGACCGCCTGCCTCCCTCACTTCCAACTCAGAACCAAGCAGAAAATCAAATATGCCCCAAACTAATCATATAAGATGTCCTATTTATAGTTAGCTTGCCTCCGGCTTCCCCATGCCAACAGCCTCCCACCATCACACACCTGAAATCTTCTCTTTTTCCCACTGTAAAGCCTTCCTATTCCTCTGCCTGCTGCTGAGTCTCTGTCAAATGCAGGTGATGGTTCTGACTCCCTTGCTACAGCAAGCCCCGATAAATAGCCCTGTTTGTTCCCGTGGGTGATCATTATTTCCAGACCTTGGGTTCGTGGGTGTGTTAGTCAGCTAGGGCTGCCATTAAAAAAAAAAAAAAATACCACAGATAGGGTGGTTAAAAAACAGAGATTTAATTTCTCACAGTTCTGGAGGCTAGAAGTCCAAGATCGAGGTGCTGGCAGGTTTGGTTTTTTCTGAGGCCTCTCTCCGTGGCTTGCAGATGGCTGTCTTCTTTATGTGTCTTCACGTGGTCTGTTCTCTGTGTACACACATCCCTGGTGTCTCTCTGTGTGATCAAATGTCCTCTTCTTATAAGGACACCAGTCAGACTGGATAAGGGCCCACCCATGGTCTTATTTTAATTTACTCTCCTCTTTAAAGGCCCTATCTCCAACACAGCCATTCTGAGGTATTAGGGGTTTGGGATCCAATGTGTGAACCTTGGGGGGGGAATACAATTCAGCCCATTAATACCTCCCTTAAATAAAGTATTAATAATTAACAATACAGATCCTCTCATTTAGAACGAACCAACCTTACACACTGCGAGGTGCCATAGTTGTGCACCAATGGGAAAGGTCAGTCCAATTTTAGGAGACCATTAAGTGGTAGGCATCTGTGCCTTGCCTGCGGCAAAAACATTAACTGCACCCCAAATAGGCACAAGCCTCCCACATTTCTCAGCCTGTTGATCGTAGGCAGGGTCATAGGACTAGTTCCGGTCCTTGCAGAGAACTCAAGGACCAGTGGAAAACTCTCCAACGGCCCTTCCTGTGCTGGAGCAGCCAGAGAGGTTTCATTCTGAGAGGATGGAGCTGCAAGCTGGAAGCAGCCTGGCTTCCTGAGTCACCCCATGGAAGACAGTTGCTCTGGAGTCCAAACCTCATAAAAATTTGTGTAAGAAATAATCCTTTATTGGTCAAGTTGCAGAGATTTAGGGTTTAATTTGTTATCATGGCAAAGCCTAATCTATCTAACATGCTGGTTGCCAGAGGAGAGGTGGACACTGGCGAAGGGACGGTGGAAGGCAGGCTCAGACCTGCCATGGCCTCACTGCCTGACTTCGGCAGAGAAGTCTGCTTCCTGACACAGGCTTGCATCCTGCCCGTCTCCAGCAAGCTGTGGTAATGGGGCCCAGAGAGAATAAATTCTTGTTATTTCTGAGGGTTCGTAAAATATCATCCAAAGACTTTCCTTTCAAAACAGCTTATGGCCATCTTCTGAGCCGGGAACGTGTTATGTAACTAGATTAGGCCTTTAAGTCAGGGCCTTTTTTTAAACCTTTAATAATGCAGTTTTGTGGCGTTGTCCTCTGCAATGCACCATTGGTTAGTTTTACACCACTCGGCTCCAGTTCATCCCTAAATTTGCTCCACTAATGTGAACTCTATGCTTCCAGAGCTGGCTACCGCAAATGCCTCCCTATCCACACACCAGCTCAGACATGGATATACCTGCGGAAGAGGATTGCGAAGACTAAAATGCTCCCGCCACCCCCACCACCCCCAGTCTCTTGGTGCCACAGATATCAGATTTGAGATAACTGTGTGTCCTGAAAATAGGTCCACAGAAAAAAAGTACATATAGATCTCTCTCTCTCTCTCTATATATATATGTATGTATGTATACACACACACACACACGTGTGTGTGTGTGTGTGTGTGTGTGTGTGTGTGTACATATATATATATCCCATTTGTCTTTGGAACCAGATGTCTGAAAAGCTCCCTTGACAAAAAAGCTGCCACAAATAATACACTCATTTACTACTCAGGAAATACACTCCTTTCATTGAAAAGTGATGACGTTAAATTGAACCAGTTCCCAGAACTGCTCTAAATTATTCTTATAGTGCCTGTAGCACATAGAGGGTCCTACAAAGGAAACAAATACTATAACCAAGGGACTTCCAGGCCGCCCCCCCCTAAAAATCAGTCTTACATTCTCTCTCAATTTGTCTCACTTTATGACATGACTATATTTTTTAGAAATGTTTTATTGATTTAATCTGGTAAAACCCAATAGCCTTTTTACAGCTACAGTAGATAACAAGGCTATCTAGCAGATGCTGCTTCCTTGGGATATCGGTTGAGAAGGAAAGAGTCTTTCTCTAGCTTCAGGAATCGATGGTGGGTGGTGGAGAGTGTGATATTCAGAATCTCAAAAAGCTGCACCATTTGAGAATGACTTAAAAATGCAAAGACTTGGTCCATGTAGGGGCCTCAAAGATACTTGTTGCACTGACAGCTTGATCTGTTGACCTCCGTCCATGACAACCACACTCTCTGATTTCTGTGTCGAGGGGAGCCTTGCACCCCAGACATGCCCTGCGGCCAGCTCATTCAGAGACCCTGGGGAGTCCTTAAACCAAAACCAGTTTTCTCTTCAAAAAAAGCTGGCGTCGAACCAGATAATCTCTCGTCCCTTCCTGTTCTAAAATGTTCTGATTACTGAAAGATATATCATCATCAAAACTAGACACTTCACACTTCAGAGCTTCCTGCAGGGTCTCTTGCTTTTACCACACCACCCTCTGAGCCACACTGCACAGGGGACACAAGGGTGTGAGCAAGAAGGTACATATGAAAAACTTTTGGTGAACAGTTACGAACCGAGTCAGAACTGTGACAATCCAAACAGCCAATGTAGACGCCCCTCCCATTCCATTCATCACCCCCTTTCCCCACCACCAAGGCCTAAAACGAGGACAGAACCTAGAGGTCATGCTCGCAGGTGTCAATCTTCATGTGCCATTTTCAGAGTCTTTGTGGGAGATCCTGAACCTCTCCCCCAAAAGAGAAAAATGCTGACTTATCTTGAGCTGCCATTTGTCATATGTCAGTCACATGACTTCTGTAGACATATCTGTTACAAGTGAAACGAAGCAAGGATACTGAAGCAGAAAAAGTCTTCAAACGCCCCACAATTTGATTCCTACTTGTATCTTGTCATTTGCTGGGCCAACAACTTTATGTAGAAGACAATACAACTATTTGCAACGTCCTCAGTGTTTTAAGATTTATTAGCAAATAAATGAAGCCGTCATAGTGAGGGAAAAGTGTATTTCACAGTCATTATAAAAGTACATACATTTAATAATGGTGACATAAATACAGTTCTTACTTATGACCAAATTATACAATTAAAGTTGACATTTCCTCCCGGACTTCACACAATCACAGTTCAGTCATTTCCATCAGTAACTACAGGCCGACTGAGGTCACAGGCACAGACTAATGATGGACAGTCATGGGTCAAAGAGACAACACACTTTGAACTTACCAAAAGGATAGTCAAGTTTTCCATATAAATATAATAAAATAATAAAGAATTTAACATTTCTTCTCTCATTCGAATTCATAGATTTGTCAGGTGCTCACACACAAAAAATACAGTTTACCCCCTTCCTCACTCCCTCTCATCTCTCACTGGGTTTGGAATAAACCTGAGTTCACAGTTCAAGTTACCCATGGTGACATGGTCAGTTAGTTGGATGACAGGCTACAGCTGTTCTTGAAGCAAGCGAGGAATGGGAAACGTCCCAATGAGCTAACAATGACGCAGAAATGCTCACGTTCTCAAGGAAAGTAAAATACAGGAAAGAGACATCGAGGGCTAGAAGTTCACAAGGCACAGATACACAGCCTGCGAACCTGCACAGCGGGCCACTTGCAGCCGGAAACCATCTTCAAAAAAGGTTCCTTCACTGATCCACATCCAAACGTTTTCATGTCAGATGGAGAGGGGCTCTTTGTTCTGCTTAAAAAGCTCTGTTTTCAATGGAGAGTTCCAGAACCCAGTCTGGAAGATACAAAGAAATAACACCAACAGCCAGGAGCCTGACTCCCTCCTAACAAGCCTTAGAGCCGGGCTGACCCCACCGAGCCGGAAGCAGCAGCTCCAGGTCTCCTCAAGGTCCGCCCACAATGGGCATCGCCATGGCTTCAGGGGCCAGCCAATACCCGCTTGCTCCTTGCTCAGAGACCTGTGGGGCAAAGTCACCACTGGTAAATGACCGAAGGTGAAAACCAGTCCGCCACTCTCTGCCATGGGCTGGCTGCCGGGAAAAACGAAGGTGGGCTTCGTAGTCCTTAAGGAGTGGCCTGTTTCGGCGAGCTGAGAGGACAAATCCTGGGCTGGCCACGGCGTTGATTTCTGTCACACCTGCACTAACCAACAGTCGAGGACTCCACGCCGTTGTGTCATCTGTCTCCTGGATTAACCGCTCTCCAACCTATGCCAATCATTCTTCTTTTTCCAATTCTGCTCATGACCAAGGGGTCCCTACCAAGTGCCAGGGCCCAGGCCCCACGTGAAGGCAGCCCCCTGGCAGGCTCCAGCTTGACACGCTCAGACAACACGGGGTCCACAGAACACGCACACAGGGATGGCACAGACACAGAACCGGAGATGCGTCTTTGGTTCGATCCTTGAAAAAGAGGTGTGAAAACGGAACATGAACTCAAAGCCTGTTTGGGGAGCCCTGCTTTCCTCAAAGAAGACACGGTACTCCATTCTGAACACGATCCCTGGCGGGCAAGCCTGCTCAAAGCTCACGGCAAACTAGCCGAGCTCCCAATTACACTTGTTTTCCTGGCAGCTTGAAAACTGCATTGCACAGAGTAATGTGCCTTCCAGATGCCTCCAAATTCAACCTTAACCGTTTTCTCTCCTTCTAAGTAACGTACTGAAATTATGTCCTACGCCTTCCAGAAGGATCAGGGTTGCGTTGACAGCCGGCTGCGATCATGCCCCACTCCTGCAGGTCGCCGTAGGCTACCAGCCACCGGAAAACACCACCTGGGTGGGCTTTTAGGCCCTGCGTGCTTATCCTCTCGTTAAAACAGGAGGTTAGTAGGATCGCTTCTCATCTCTCCATCAGGTTTTTAAAAATTATGCTACCGTGACTTAATGACATCACATAAAGAAAAGTCATCTTTGGAGAAGATAAGTTAACTATTAGTAAGTTTCAACCAAAAAAACAACACAAAACTGTCAAAATCTTGTTTCGGAAACGCGTGCCTCTCTTTGGTCTTTCCTTTCCCTGGAGTCCTCACTGTTTGGATCGGTCTTTGCCCAGCTGCCCCTTTCCGCTCTGAGGGGTGGTGCTGGTGGCCGAGACTCCCACCCATCTTCCTCTGAGGCTCCTGGGGCCCGGTGTTCCAGGTATTCACCTCTACAAAAGGAAGGAAAACCGTGGTCTGGAGAAAGCGCTCTGTGACGGGGCCATCAGTCCCCACACGACGGTGGCCGATTGCTGAAAAGAGAATGATCCACTGAGAGGCACACGCAGAGCACACAGTGAAGAAAGATCTGGTAACAGTCTGTGATCTGAGCAGCCCAGAGGCGGATGCATGGTGCTCACCGTGGAGCCCAGCCGAGGGAGGTGGGCGGAGGGCCGGTGAGTAAGAGGGTGTGAACCATCACTGGCTGCAGTCACAGCCAACCCTCCCAGTCAACGCCAGCATCTCCGGGGTCCCTAGGCAAGACTGGGTGCTGCAGGCTTTCAGCCTATGGACTTCAGCTGTTCCACAGATGGGACACTGCCTGGCAGGAGGACATGAGGCATGAAGGATGCTGCGAGAGAGGCCTCCCTTTGAATCTTCACATCCTGTTCCATTACCGCCCTTAGAAATACCCAGCGTCCCGCCGCTGGCCCAGGTTAACACTGGCCTTTCACGCCATCGGCCAGGTCGAAGGCAAGGCTCACGGGGGCCATGGGCTGCAGCGGGGGCATGCTGGCCTCCAAGGCCCTGTCTGCAGAGGGCTGTAGGCTCTGATGCCGCTTCCTCAGCATCTGTCCGATGCCCATCATGGGGAACCTGCCTCGACTTTTCACACAATTCGGGCTCCCCAGGGGCTGTGTGGTGCCGTTACTGCAAACTGGAGGTGGGGAGTACACACCCTCCTCTTTGGGGGGACAGTTCTTATCTTCGTGAGCAAAGGAGACCAGAGTGGGATGCAAAGGAGTTTGGAGAGGTGACGGGCTTCCGGGCAGCAGAGCCGGAGACAGCGTCCGCTCACCGGGGTTTCCACGAGCCAAGCCTCCAGGGGAGTTCAGGATCCTATAGTGATCGGAGGGGGAGAGCAGTTCCGTGTGGTCCTCGTGATCGACAGACTCGAAGGAACGGACCATATCCAGCACCAGGGGGTCTTCCTTGGTGGGGATGCTGCTGCTCCCGGGCCCCTGCTGAGGGGGCTGCGGTTTCTTGACAATCCTGGGGGTCCTGGGCGGTGGGACGGCGATGAACTCCATGGAAGACGAAGCCACACAACTGGAGTCTGAGGTTTTGCGGAAAAGATTGCGGCAGCCGAAGGAATCTGCACCGGGAAAGCAAAGGAAATCATGAGCACAGCCACGCCGGCCGGGGGCGCGGCCCTTCTCCCCGCTGCCCGGGAGGGCACCAGGCACCAAGAAGCAAACGGCCTCGGCACCCGGCTCTCCCCGCAGGGACCAGAAGGTCCTGCTAGAATGGCGGGGACAGGAGGCTGGTGCCAGGAGGCCTCCTGGGCTCCGATTTGCCTCGTGGCACCGGCTTAACACCTGCTCTCCTTTTAAAATCCTGGACCCTGCCAAAGAGCCTTCGAATGAAAAAGGCTTCCAGCTCGAAGGAGCTGGGACCGAACTGACGGCGGCACATGGGGCCTGACGTGCGGAGGGCCTGCGAGCCCTGGAAGATTTCCCCTCGTGACTTTTTAAAAACTGTGGTAAAAAAATACATGAACACAAATTTATCATTCTAGCCGTTTTCAAGTGTACAGCTCAGAAACGTCAGGTACATTCACGTCATTGTGAAACAGCTCTTCCTGTAAATCTGAAACTCGGTACCCACCGAACAATAACTCCCCACCCCCCTCCCCCAGCCCCTGGCAACCACCATCCGATTTTCTGTCTCCGAATTGGACTACACTAGGCACCTCGTGTAAGTGGAATCTACAGCATTTGTCCTTTTGCGACTGGCTTGTTTCACTGAGCATAATGTCCTCAGGGTTCATCCGAGTTGTAGTATGTGCCAGAATTTCCTTCCTTTTTAAGGTTCCCTCATGACTTCTGACCTCCCTGGAGCCTCATCCAATTCTGAACGGGGGCGACACACTCTTCATCTATATATTTCAGGCAACGAGCCAATCCCCACGGTTTCCAGCTCAAGTTGGCACGGACTGGAATCCAGGTTTGCAGACGGTGCCAGCAAAGCAAGGGAAAACCCCCACCAATGTGGAGCCGAGGGAAATCAAGCCAAGTTCCCATGGAACAAGCTCCTTTTTCTGCCGTCACATTTTACAGAACCCCGTCAGGGCCCAGCAGCAGGAACAAGCTGCTGCTCAGGGGGAGCGATGTGGGGCACATCCGAGGGCACTGGGAATCCTCACGTTCCGTAAACAAACACACAGATGCCAAAGTAAACCGCCTCCTCAGGCTGGCACAGGTGCCTGAAGCTCACCAGAGGGAAGAAGTAAAATTTCATGAAGGGCTGGTGTCCCCGGTGCTCCAGCTGGCACGTGAGCATCCCCTCCCCTCCGTGAGATGGCTCCGTGCTCCCAGCTCTCAGCCCGACTCCCCCCTCGGTCCAGCCCTGCTTCCTTCACTCCCCAGATCTCGAGAGGGTGCCTCCCATGGCACCCTACTGAGGTCCACCTCAGAGCCAGCCCCCAGGGCACTGACCCGGACACCGCACGACCCCGGCAAAAAAAAACCACGGCCACCAGAAGGACCCTGTGACCACACGTGCTCCTCTTCCCGCAATCCCTTCCAGGAAGCAGGAGGCTACAGCGTTCAGGAGAAAGATCTAGAGCCAGGCTGCACGGCTGGAAAGCTGGACTCTGCCATTGACCAGCTCCCTGACTTTGGACGAGTCTCTGTGTCCACTTCCTTGGCTCTAGAAACGAGGATGAGAATAATCTCACTGGGAGAAGAGCTTGAAACAGTGCCCGCCACACAGCGAACGCTCGGTGCCAGCGATGATCTGGGCTCCAGAGCACCTCTAAGTGAATACACGCTCACGTCCCACGATGAAAGAAAAATGCAAAGAAACAATGCCACTCAGCCCAGGAAAGTAGCAAGGAACAGACTCCAGCTCTGTGGTATAAAAGTTACCCCAAAATATGCAGGGCTGACCCGGACTTCCTCGGGGAGACCCATAGGATGGCGCAGTCAAGGGCCCAAACGTGCGGCTGGTCACAAAGCCAGAAAAGAGTCCACGAAGGAGGGACCAGCAGAGCCCCTCTGGCGAGACCCTGCCTTTCTGAGGCCTAGAGGAAGAAACTGAACCAAATGGAATTGTTCTTCTCTGGGTAAGAACCAGGTACGAATCTCCTCATGCTTCCCTGCTGCCCCAGGTAACCACCAATTGATCTCAGACAGCTGAGGCTCTCTTGGACCCTCGGTCTCTTCATATTCAAAACAAAGGGACTGAGGATCGGACTTGGCAATGTCTCCCATCCCCCTGCGGTAATAAGAACCTCTCCTCCGCCCCCTGGCTTGCTTCAGGACACAACCCAGTGCCCTTCAGTGCTCGTCCCAGAGCGGGGGGAGACTCGTGTTTACCAGTTACCTGACGTGCTGGCCTCTGATCGTGGCAGAGAAGCCCACGTTTGTCTCCCTAAATCCACCCGATGGCTCTGACAGGGAGGTTTCCTTTCACAAGCAAACGAACCAACTGAAACCCTCAGAGGGTAAGGACCTCGGGCCACAGGAGTCATGGAGCTGGGGCCTGAGCACCTTCCACCCAGAGCCCAGACTCAGTGCCGATCCCACCTCAGTGTCTGCCAGGGTCCACTTCCCCGGTGAAGGTTCCCACACCCCGGTCTCTGCCCCTGCAGACTGAAACCTGTCCCTAGTGCATAATACCGTGTACCCCGATCTCTACTCGTGTACCCCGATCTCCATTCCTGCCATACCTTACTCCCTGATCTCTGTTCCCACAATACCACGTACCCCAATCTCTGCCCCACAGTACAACACACCTCTATATCTGCTTCTGCAATACCATTCCTCCCAAATTCTGTTCCTGCACCCCAACTTCTACTCTTGCAATACCTTACGCCCTGATTTCTGTTCCCATGATCCTGTGCACTCCATCACTGCACCCACGATCCCACGCACCCCACCTCTGCTTTCTCAAATCCTTTCCACACAGGTGGCCAATACCACGCAGAGATGACGTTCATTGTTTCCAGGTTATTTGAGGTGCATTAACTCGGCTTTCCCACAAGCACAGGAATCGTGTCTGTCCCAAAGGCCTACACAGCAGCCACCCCACTCAACACGAGCGGCCTAGAGAGCACCCCGAGCTGACTCACCTTTGTCGGGGAAGCCGGACTTGGGGGCCTTCCGGTCCCTCAGCAGGGCCTTGGTGTTCTGAATCTGCGTGATGAGCGAGGCCGAGGGTTGTTTGTGCGAGGGCTGGTTCTTGTCCAACTTCTTGGAAAACGGCCGATGAAGAAAATCCCCTCTTTTTTCTTGTTCTTTGGGCTTTTTATCCTTCAAATCGGAAGCAAACACATGTATGTACTCAGATCCACACGAGAATATACGACGTGATCCCTGTTTGAAGAGTCATCCAAGTAGATGAAGAGCTCCAGCTTTTCACGACTCTATGCTCCCAAATGCATGTTGAACAAGGCCAGAGCCGAGGCCCCGCAGATGCTCCAGCTCCCTCCCCCTGGGCCACAGGCAGGCTTTGGCCGTTGCCAGCTCCCTGCACCGAGCTGCTTCAAGGTGTTCCAGCAAGGGTAAGGTCATCCCTAGGAGGTCAAGTATTCTAGAACGAGTGTAACAAGCTAAGGCAAAGCAGATGAGGACTTCTGGAAATCCGCCGTCTTATTGAAAGTAGGGCCCTGAGATTCTGCCCACTGCAGTGGTTTTGCAAAAGCAACTTTGCAAAGAACATGCAGCCACTTCATCTTGACATCTGTTCCTGTGTGTTCGATTAAGCTGAGATGTGACAAGAAACCCACCGGACCCAGAGCCTCCCTGGGTGAGTTTCTGACGCTTTCCCGCCCCCTGGTCATGAGAGCACTTAACCTGTGTACCTAAAACTGGCGCCACTTAGCCATTTTTGCAGTAATCTTGCCTTTATTGAATTCGATTATAATCCCTCTGACGGAAGTGAGTTTGACTATTGTATCTTCAAACCCACAGCCGTGAGCATAAAGCCAGGCACGTGGAGAAGATTTAATACATAGTTATCGAGTATTTAAAAAAAGAAAAAAGAAAAGAAAGCCAGTGGAAGCTGAAAGGAATTAAAATGAACTGAGTTCACGCTTCTGGGAAGGGCGATGCCGCTAAGAAGTTGTTCTTTTTCTGGCCCTAAAGACTGTGTTTGATCTTTACTATCAAACAGAGGCAGCTGAATCCCTGACCTCACCCCGAGTGAGGGGAAAAAAGGCAGATTTTCACATTTTTGCCTTACACTTTAAGAGCATCTGCAATTCGAGAGCGCTCATCTATTTTTCATTGACGTTGTTGCAAAGCTTCTCAAGGCAACATCTCCTTGCACTGGGACAGCCTTTTCCAATGAGGACTTTCAAAGCCTTCGTGGACTGGGGTTCATTATTCTAGTGTTCGAATGGGCAAGAGTGGCCAGGAAGCCATGGGAAGCGGGGATGCCGAGCTGAGCCTGAGTGTCACCGCGAGGGGTCTAAGCCATGCCTGAGGTGGCCTGTCCCCAGTGGAGGCATCTGAGCAGCCGCCATCAGCCTTTACTAAGGACATTCGGAGTGTCAGATGCTGCACGAAAGCCTGTCCCATGAAGAGGCCAGCTCTGTTACTCGCTCTTACAGTCAAGGGAACAGCTGGAGGGGTTAAATAATCCACCCAGGAGCAAGAGGAAAACTCAGATTTTCGCAGCCCTGAAATTCAGAGTGCTTAACCCTTGACTTCACACTACCCTCTGAGAGCCCGGGGCAAGGCCAGGTGATTCCAGGGGTGGACAGAAAGGCCGGACACAGCACTGGCCAGAGGCGGAGACCACGCTAGTCCTGGGGCTGCAGGTGGGTATCCGGGATGCTACGAATGAAGCCGCGTGTCCCAGGTTATCACACAGGACGCTACAGAGCGAGAAGGGGCCCGAAGCTCCAGGTCGCCTAAGCCAAGACCAATCATAATTCACCACCTTCCTCTCTCCCTATTTCTGCAAAACACCCATAGGCCCTCTTGTCAAAGGCAAAAGCAAACGAACTTTCACCCTTTCGAAGGGGACATGACGGGCCCATCCGGAGAAGTCTGACAGAATTTCCTCCTTTCGCTCTGTGCTTTCTATCTCTCTTCTTATGAGAAAAAAAAAAAAAAATCCCCAGGTCTACATGTTAACACCTTGAACAGGAAAAAAAAAAAAACCAAACATATTTTTGTGATATGCTGCGAAAGGGCATTTAGAAGAAAAGATGAAATTGCAGTTCCCCGCTTTTGGGGACGGTGTCTTAGGACAGCGGGCACCCCTTCCTTTGGGCCGCCTTGCTGGCGCCTTCACGGGTGCATCCCAGCTCCTTTCCAAACCTCCGTGGGTTCTCCAAAGCTAAAAGATCAAGATGCAGAATTTCTGGGGGCCAGTATTGCCACCCAGCACCGAGAGGTGTACGAGGCATGAGTTTTCTGTAGAAAGAGACCAAGGGTGGCTCTAGAATTCTGTCCTAAAACCAACAAAGGGATATTTGGCAATGAGCGGACAGCCTGCCGTGGAGGCCGAAGAAAGGCAAATGGCCCGAGGACTGAAAATTCTGGGAGCTCCTGCTCCAACCGCCCTGTCGACCTAAAGCCCAGGATCGTGTGCCTGGGCGTTTCCTCCAAAAGCACCCTGAACCTCCCCCTCTAGCCTAAAATAATGGGTGATTTCACAGTGATCTGTTTCTCAGGGGATGCTAAGAATTCATCCCGCCCCCAACCTCACACCCTCGCTTTGACCCCTCCCTGCTCGGGACAAACTGCTGGGTCAGTCCATGTGGAAGGGTCCACGGGCCACGGGATAGGTGTTTGTTTACAGCCAGCCAATCTCAGTGACCTCCAAGCCCAGGTTACCAAAGGCAACGCATCACCTAGTTACGACTCTTCATTCGCATGGCCTATTTTCTCCACAAAAGAGATTTCCTAGGGAGCAGGATGCCAAACTGCCTTACGTCACAGACGCAGATCTTCAGAGAGACTAATTACGCTCCCCCCTCGGACATGCCCAGGCCCACGGCCAGCTCCCCTCCCAGCAGGGCTGCTGCCGCCTGCGGGCCTCTCCAGGTTCCTTCCGATGCTCGCTGGGAGTGCTCCCCACACCCGCGGGCCCGAGGGCAGGCGATGGATCTGAAGCCGTTGGTTCAAAAGGTCCACCTTGGACCCCCACGCACAGTCCCGAACCCCTCAAGGCAGATCAGAGAGGAGACCACAGGAGGCCCCAGATGCCAGCCCCACACAAAAGAGCGTCTTGTTTTCTTCAAACCACCCACTATATATGCGCACGAACATTTACAAAACTGGACACTTTGAAGATGTGGCCCCGTAACGGATGATCCACCAAGACTCTTTTAATGTTGTGGATTGTTGGATGGAGGGGAAGAGCCAGGGAGTGATGAGCCACTGGGCTTCTGGAGGGAGATGTCTGCACAGCAGACATCATGTCCCACAGCAGTGGGACATGACCAAGTGGGAGGAGGAAGCAGGTCCCTGGCCCCTGCGTCCTGAGCTCTGAGCTTGGGGACACAAGTCCCCTGTGACTCCAGCCTCCCGCATCCAAAGAGCTGCACCCCTCCCCCTTCCTTCCGGTTTTCCTCCTGTGGGTGCAGCAAGGTATCCTTCGGCCAGTCACTTCCCTTTAAGAGAAGTGTCTCCCCAGCTGGAACCAAAAAGGTGGGTCCTTCTGGCTCTTCGAGGATAAAAACAAACCTCACATCTCACCTGCGTCATCAGTTTAACAAGGACAGATGTGGCCACACTTTCTCATCACCCCAGGCTGTGGGAAGAACTACGGCCCAGGACATTCGCTCTGCTCCTCAAGCAGTGACATATGACCACAGGAAGTGATGCCAGTGGCAGAGGGGCCCTAGGGGCTTGAGAGGAGCTGAAGCTGTTTTGAGTAACTATCAAGTCCAGTTCAGCATGGCTTTTCTGGAGCCTGGGGTCCCCTTGATGATGAGCTAACCTCACCTGGCTGTTGGGGACATCAGACCTAGGTGTGGATTGTGAGTACCTGGGATGGTCATTGGGCCCCAGTGTCGTGTGCTGGTTGATTTTGGATTCTTGCTGCCCATCAATCACATAAGGGAAAGCTGCAGAGCCCTGATTTTACCGTAGGAAAAACATTGAATAAGTTGTAGAAAAGAGGGCTTGATTCGTAAATTAAGCCACTAGGCCAGAAAGCCCTGGACTGTTGCAAATCCCGTTTTTCATACAGGTAAACATGGATGCCCAGCCAAGCGTGTAGTTAGAACAAGGCAATATTAAAGAGTCAACCGAACATAAAGAGCACCTCTCTGATCTGAGAGGATTCTGATAAACCAAATCAAAACAGGATTCTGCACATTTTAATTCGAGACAAGGTCGGGGTGTGCAGGGCCCAGAGCCCTGGGCAGAGATCCACTAGCCTTCAGGGGCATATGTGATGGTTAATTTCATGTGTCAACTTGGGTAGGCCACGGCACCCAGTGTTTGGTCAAATATTAGTCTAATGTTGCTGTGAAGGTATTTTTTGATGAGATTTAAATCAGTACACTTGGAGTAAAGCAGATTATCTGTGGGTGGGCCTTGTGCAATCAGTTGAGGGCCCTAAGAGAAAAAGACTGAAGTGCCCTGAGAAAGAAGAAATTCTACCTTAAAAGGCTGTGGTACTCAAGCGGAGACATCAGTTCTTCCCGGGATGACCAAGCATCAGACAGACACACAGACACAGACACACAGACACACAGACACAGACACACACACACACACACACACACACACACACTCGACAATATTGTTTCTGTTTGTCTGGAGAACTCTGACTAATCCATCATAACGCCCCAGATTCTTACCTGCACAGCATGGAATTCAAGGTCTCTTGTCCAGGTGTCCAGGGAGGTCTGTGAAAAACAGCATTTTTCAGCAATTCAAGAAGCTGCACCTGCTGTTTATGCCCTAAATTCTATCACTTGCACCTCTGACTGAGAATTATTCATTTCAATGTTTACAGTCAAGAAGCCAAACTCCTAAATCATTGTGGAAGCAGGCAGCAGATGTCCTAATTCATGCATGAACAGATTTTCTAGATAAGTTTATTAAAGTCCAAGACACATAGAGCA